GACTGAGTCTTCGTCATGAAGGATCGGACTGAGTCAGCGTCATGAAAGATCAGACTGAGTCAGCATCATGAAGGATCAGACTTAGTCAGCATCATGAAGGATCGGACTGAGTCAGCATCATGAAGGATCGGACTGAGTCAGCATCATGAAGGATCAGACTGAGTCAGCATCATGAAGGATCAGACTGAGTCAGCATCATGAAGGATCAGACTGAGTCAGCATCATGAAGGATCGGACTGAGTCAGCATCATGAAGGATCAGACTGAGTCAGCATCATGAAGGATCAGACTGAGTCAGCATCATGAAGGATCAGACTGAGTCAGCATCATGAAGGATCAGACTGAGTCAGCATCATGAAGGATCAGACTGAGTCAGCATCATGAAGGATCAGACTGAGTCAGCATCATGAAGGATCAGACTGAGTCAGCATCATGAAGGATCAGACTGAGTCAGCATCAGATGAAGGATCAGACTGAGCCAGCATCATGAAGGATCAGACTGAGTCAGCATCATGAAGGATCAGACTGAGTCAACATCATGAAGGATCAGACTGAGTCAGCATCATGAAGGATCGACTAAAGTCAGCATCATGAAGGAATCAGACTGAGTCAGCATCATGAAGGATCAGACTGAGTAAGCATCATGAAGGATCAGCCCTGAGTCAGCATCATGAAGGATCAGACTGAGTCAGCATCATGAAGGATCAGACTGAGTCAGCATCATGAAGGATCAGACTGAGTCAGCATCATGAAGGATCAGACTGAGTCAGCATCATGAAGGATCAGACTGAGTCAGCATCATGAAGGATCAGACTGAGTAGCATCATGAAGGATCAGACTGAGTCAGCATCATGAAGGATCAGACTGAGTCAGCTCATGAAGGATCAGACTGAGTCAGCATCATGAAGGATCAGACTGAGTCCAACTCATGAAGGATCGGACTGAGTCAGCATCATGAAGGATCAGACTGAGTCAGCATCATGAAGGATCAGACTGAGTCAGCATCATGAAGGATCAGACTGAGTCAGCATCATGAAGGATCAGACTGAGTCAGCATCATGAAGGATCAGACTGAGTCAGCTCATGAAGGATCAGACTGAGTCAGCATCATGAAGGATCGACTGAGTCAGCATCATGAAGGATCAGATTGAGTCAGCATCATGAAGGATCAGACTGAGTCAGCATCATGAAGGATCAGACTGAGTCAGCATCATGAAGGATCAGACTGAGTCAGCATCATGAAGGATCAGACTGAGTCAAGCATCATGAAGGATCAGACTGAGTCAGCATCATGAAGGATCAGACTGAGTCAGCATCATGAAGGATCAGACTGAGTCAGCATCATGAAGGATCAGACTGAGTCAGCATCATGAAGGATCAGACTGAGTCAGCATCATGAAGGATCAGACTGAGTCAGCATCATGAAGGATCAGACTGAGTCAAGCATCATGAAGGATCAGACTGAGTCAGCATCATGAAGGATCAGACTGAGTCAGCTCATGAAGGATCAGACTGAGTCAGCATCATGAAGGATCGACTGAGTCAGCATCATGAAGGATCGGACTGAGTCAGTCATGAAGGATCAGACTGAGTCAGCATCATGAAGGATCAGACTGAGTCAGCATCATGAAGGATCAGACTGAGTCAGCATCATGAAGGATCAGACTGAGTCAGCATCATGAAGGATCAGACTGAGTCAGCATCATGAAGGATCAGACTGAGTCAGCATCATGAAGGATCAGACTGAGTCAGCATCATGTAGGATCAGACTGAGTCACATCATGAAGGATCGGACTGAGTCAGCATCATGAAGGATCAGACTGAGTCAGCATCATGAAGGATCAGACTGAGTCAGCATCATGAAGGATCAGACTGAGTCAGCATCATGAAGGATCAGACTGAGTCAGCATCATGAAGGATCAGACTGAGTCACATCATGAAGGATCAGACTGAGTCAGCATCATGAAGGATCAGACTGAGTCAGCATCATGAAGGATCGGACTGAGTCAGCATCATGAAGGATCAGGACTGAGTCAGCATCATGAAGGATCAGACTGAGTCAGCATCATGAAGGATCAGACTGAGTCAGCATCATGAAGGATCAGACTGAGTCAGCATCATGAAGGATCAGACTGAGTCAGCATCATGAAGGATCAGACTGAGTCAGCATCATGAAGGATCAGACTGAGTCAGCATCATGAAGGATCGGACTGAGTCAGCATCATGAAGGATCAGACTGAGTCAGCATCATGAAGGATCAGACTTGAGTCAGCATCATGAAGGATCAGACTGAGTCAGCATCATGAAGGATCAGACTGAGTCAGCATCATGAAGGATCAGACTGAGTCAGCATCATGAAGGATCAGACTGAGTCAGCATCATGAAGGATCAGACTGAGTCAGCATCATGAAGGATCGACTGAGTCAGCATCATGAAGGATCAGACTGAGTCAGCATCATGAAGGATCAGACTGAGTCAGCATCATGAAGGATCAGACTGAGTCAGCATCATGAAGGATCAGACTGAGTCAGCATCATGAAGGATCAGACTGAGTCAGCATCATGAAGGATCAGACTGAGTCAGCATCATGAAGGATCAGACTGAGTCAGCATCATGAAGGATCAGACTGAGTCAGCATCATGAAGGATCGGACTGAGTCAGCATCATGAAGGATCAGACTGAGTCAGCATCATGAAGGATCAGACTGAGTCAGCATCATGAAGGATCGACTGAGTCAGCATCATGAAGGATCAGACTGAGTCAGCATCATGAAGGATCAGACTGAGTCAGCATCATGAAGGATCAGACTGAGTCAGCATCATGAAGGATCATGGTTTCAGAATCCTAAAACAAACTACCAGATTAAAGAGCGATTTTTTTTATTTTGTATTATTGATTACCGCTAATGCTTCGTCTGTTATTAATTCCCAGTCGTATGCATCTAAAGGATCGACACCATGCCCAGCCCTTCTAGGGCAGGGTAGGTGCCTGAGCCAGAGCCTGCAGCACACAAGCCTGCCATTCCCATTAACCCCCTTAGGGCGGGGATCGTGGACCAGAGAGGCCTAGCTTCTCCCTACGAGAAGCTAGGCCTGGGGACAGTTGGTCTCAAAGATTAGGGGGTACTTGTACCTCCTCCCATGGGAGACTTAGGTCTCAGACACTCCCTGGACAGGGAGCCAAGGCCGGGCCACCACTTGGAAAAGGCCCGGGCCGGGAGAATACCAGTGAATCTTTAATAATAATAATAATCTGAAGGATAAAGACCATTTTACCGTGGCTGGAACATTCACGGATAACTCGAGGGTGGAATTGGAGTTATTTGATGTTCCGCTACACTACGAACCCACGGCTTGAAATGGAGACTTGAGACGACGTTTCGGTCCATCCTGGACCAATAATAAGGTCCAGGTTGGTAGATAAGACACATAGGCAACATTTAGGCAACTTTATTCCGAAACGTTTCTCCTACACAGTAGGCTTCTTCAGTCGAGTACAGAAAGTAGGCAGGAACAGTAGAGATGTGAAGACGATGTAATCCGTCCATCACCCTTGAAGTCGCAGATTTGAGGTTGTCAGTCCCTCAGCCTGGAGAAGTTCTGTTCCAAAGTCTGGAACTAACTGAAGATCAAGCGACAGTGTTGAGACTTAAATACTGTCGGAAGGAGAGGAACAGAGTAGTAGTAATGAGAATGTAGCCACTGTTAAGTCATGTCCCTCTCAGATCAAACAATTCTCACTTGAAAAAATTGTGAGAATTATTTGATCTGAGAGGGACATGACCTCTCAGTGGCTACATTCTCACTACTACTACTACTCTGCACCTCTCCTTCCGACAGTATTTAAGTCTCACACTGTCGCTTGATCTTCAGTTAGTTCCAGACTTTGGAACAGAACTTCTCCAGGCTGAGGGACTGACAACCTCAAATCTGCGACTTCAAGGGTGATGGACGGATTACATCGCCTTCACATCTCTACTGCTCCTGCCTACTTTCTGTACTCGACTGAAGAAGCCTACTGTGTAGGCGAAACGTTTCGGAATAAAGTTGCCTATGTGTCTTACCTACCAACCTGTCGGTAGTGTATACCATTTGATAATCAATAAGGTCCAGGTCTGACCGAAATGCTGTTCACATTTTCCTCTGCAAATTCTGGGCATATACAGTAAACTGTTTTATTAAACTCCTCTATACAGTTCGATTTTTTTTTTTTTTTTTTTTGGGGGGGGCAGATGAGATCGTTTTTTTTTTTTTTTTTTTTTTTTTTTTTTTTTTTTTGAAAACTGAATATTGTGTGAAAAATATCTGCATAATACAAGGAGCTCAATTTTGAATGCAGGTTTTCAACTGCATTGCAAAAAAAATCATATTGTATACAATATAGGTTTTTAAGAGGACTTATTGGTATTAAATTGTCCCATCACTGAGGTTTTTTTTTTATATTTTTTTTTTTTTGTAAATTTAATAAAATTTGTACCATTCTGCACTCTTTTCAAATATATTGTTAAATCTGTGTTTTTCTTTGTTTGTGTGTGTGTGTGTGTGTGTGTGTGTGTGTGTGTGTGTGTGTGTGTGTGTGTGTGTGTGTGTGTGTGTGTGTGTGTGTGTGTGTGTGTGTGTGTGTGTGTGTACTTACCTAGCTGTACTCACCTAGTTGAGGTTGCGGGGGTCGAGTCCGAGCTCCTGGCCCCGCCTCTTCACTGATCGCTACTAGGTCACTCTCCCTGAACCGTGAGCTTTATCATACCTCTGCTTAAAGCTATGTATGGATCCTGCCTCCACTACATCGCTTCCCAAACTATTCCACTTACTGACTACTCTGTGGCTGAAGAAATACTTCCTAACATCCCTGTGATTCATCTGTGTGTGTGTGTGTGTGTGTGTGTGTGTGTGTGTGTGTGTATTTACAACAATCTTCCACTTTTCCGCACTCTCGTTTTAAAGTCTCTTCTCTCTTGTTAAATCTGTATGCTTATTTTTCTGTGCGCGCCTGTTTGTGTAGCTACGACCTACGGCAGTCTGGTGGACGTCACTGGAGCGACGAGACTGTGTTCGGACAGCGAGCTCAGTTTGACCTGAGAGTGAACCCTCCCAGCCTGCGAGTGCATCCAGTGAGACCTGCAGACCAGGACACCTACCGCTGCAGAGTGGACTACGAGAGAGGACCTTCTAGGACCTCCACCGTCCACTTGGCTGTTATTGGTAAGTCGATTAAGACCCTTGTTGTCTATCTGGATATTATTGGTAAGTTTATTAAGACCTCTGCTGTCTATCTGGATGTTATTGGTAAGTTTATTAAGACCTCTGCTGTTTATCTGGATGTTATTGGTAAGTTTATTAAGACCTATGCTGTCTATCTGGATGTTATTGGTAAGTTTATTAAGGCCTCTGCTGTCTATCTGTATGTTATTGGTCAGTTTAGTAAGACCTCTGCTGTCTATCTGGATATTATTGGTAAGTTTATTAAGACCTATCTATCTGGATATTATTGGTAAGTTTATTAAGACCTCTGCTGTTTATCTGGCTGTTATTGGTAAGTTTATTAAGATCTTTAAGACTTATCTGACTGTTGTTAAGATTATTACGATTTCAATGGTCTATCTGGCTGGTTTTCATAAGTTGGTTACGACCTCTTAAAAGGAAGCGCTTTATCCTACTGTTATTGATAAACTGATCAGGAAATCAGAGAAGACAAAGATTGCTCTCATATCATTAAGCTGGGAGGTTACAAACCCAGGATATCCCCACGAAAGCAAAGATCAAATCACGACATTAATAACCCACGACAAGTAATTCACAGGCTCTAAATCTAACACGCTAACCAATTTCATAGAACTGGAGAAAGGGAGGCAATTACACTCTGATTCGACGTCTTCCCTAGCATTAAGGCAGCCGCTTGTGAGAGAGGGAATGGTTTAACAAACGTATGTTTGTTTACAGTGCCGCCATCACCAGCTGTAGTGACGGATGAGAGTGGCTCTGTTGTGGAAGGAAGTGCTGGCCCTTACCTGGAAGGAGGCAGAGTCGTCCTCACCTGTAAGACCATAGGAGGTAAGAAGAGGAAGTAAGACTATGAGAGGTAATAATGTAGCAAGTAAAAGTAATACAGGTAAGAGCATAGGAGGTAAGAGAATAGGAGGTATAAGCATAGGAAGTAAGGACATAGGCGGCTTGAGCATAGATATGAAAGTAGGAGGTAAGAACATAGGAAGCATGAGCCTACGAGGTAAGGACATAGGTAACCTTGAGTCTCAGCTGGTAAACTGGCTCCAGGTGTCGCAGTGAAGACAACAGTGAACACAAGTAGTCTGTACAAAAGCTTACAACCCTCGAATATTTTCTTTTAGCAGGTGCAAAATAAAATTCACTTATTGGTCGTCATTTTCTCCTCATGCTTAGCGGTTTTCTTGTGATAACTTGAGAATGCCTCTGCGGATTAACCTCAAACTTGCAAAGGAACTTCGTATTCCTACGCTACATCCGCCGTTGAAAGTCTCAGGTCAAGTAACAACGGCTTTCTCAATTTATCACAGGTAAACAAACCAGTGGGAAAAAAATAAAGATTCCTCACATAACTGCAATTAGCGTGATTAATTATTCCCTTTCAGAAGAAATCTAAAACAACAGCAACAAAAATAATGATAATTGCAATGATAATGATAATCACAACTACCATATATTAGAGGTTTCGGACCACCATGGACAGTTATCAACCTTACGAGCCCAGGACGGTCCGAACTGCAGTCGTTTTAAGACAATGTCATTATACAACGCCAGTCATGTTAATGAGACATAAAATGCAGGTTATATTTTATTGTGAAGACGCTCCGTCCGAAAAAAAATTATTACTAGTGTTGATAAAGTTCCTGGAGGGCGAAACATGTTCTCCATAAAGTGCCATAAATCATATATAGAATGTTATTAGTTAACAAAAAAAGGCACAATACAGTGACTGGAACGATACACAAATAACCCGTAATGTTATTAGTTGCCCTGCCTTTAACTACAGTTCAAGCAGTGTACAGAGGACGTATGTTCCTGTAAGCCCTTTTGAGATCTGGTTCCTAGGCCGGAGGAGAGAGATACATGGCAATATATACGCTAAAGGTGCTTGAGGGCCTTGTTCCAAATTAACACACTGCCCATAACTTACTGGAGCGAGAGATATGGTAGGTAGTGCAAGATAAACCCACTGAAAAACAGGGGTGCAGTGAGCACAATAAGAGAACACTGTATCAACATTCGTGGTCCCAGATTATTCAACATCTTACCAGGCTGGTTAACCAGGCAAACACCAGACAATCCTGGCCCAAGGCCGGGCTCCGGAGATAGAAAAACTTTTAGCACTTATCAAAGGTATACCAAAGGTATATAATATATATATATATATATATATATATATATATATATATTATATATATATATATATATATATATATATATTATAAAACCCTTGCGCTACACACCACAGGATGGATGAGGTGCAAAATGCTATACAAACCTTGCTAACAGATACCGACAAATTGGTTTTAAAAGACACTTGACCAAACAATACGACATATTTATTAGAAAACGTTTTGGTTATCAAGGTCCCAGGACTGAAACGTTTTTAATATGTCCTTATGTGTTCTTATGTTCTTATGTAATGTTTGATTTCGTGTGTTTTTAATTGTTTTTTTCTATTCACTCGCCATGAATTCTAACCCCACCTGTACCGTTGTTTGTATAATACACTAGCCACCTTGGCGGGAAAAATCTAATCGCAATGTGTACGCAGGTCGGCCGTCACCCACGCTAGTTTGGGTGAGAGACGGGAGAGTAGTAGAGGACTCGTATACGGTGGACCACAGAGGACAGGTGAGGAACCTACTCCACCTGGATAACCTCTCCAGAGACCTACTGGATGCCGCCTTCACCTGCCGGGCCACCAACAACAATATCACCAGACCTCTGGATACCACCGTCACTATAAATATGACCCGTGAGTCACTGTGGAGTCTATAGTGAGTCAATTCCCTGACCTCTTGCTTGTCCTCTGAGTCACTTTAGAGTGAATAGTGAATCAGTCCCCGACTTTTTCTTCTGTCTGTGCATCTCAAGAAAATAATTCCTCTGTGTATACGTTTCTCAATGCTTCTGTTAGGCGCTAAACCCACTGTGGGTCTTTTGCTGAATAACCCATATAGATTTAGCGCTTAACATGAATTATTAAAACAAATTGTTATTATTCTATTATTTCTCTCTCTCTCTCTCTCTCTCTCTCTCTCTCTCTCTCTCTCTCTCTCTCTCTCTCTCTCTCTCTCTCTCTCTCTCTCTCTCTCTCTCTCTCTCTCTCTCTCTCTCTCTCTCTCTTTTCTCTCTCTCTCTCTCTCCTCTCTCTCTCTCCTCTCCTCTCTCTCTCTCCTCTCTCTCATCTCTCTCTCTCCTCTCTCTCTCTCTCTCTCTCTCTCTCTCTTCTCTCTCTTTTTTTTTTTTTTTTTTTTTTTTTTTACACAGGGTTTGACAAGGTTAAGGATCTCTAGCTTTATTGACAAGCTATTTACAGGTTAAGGATCCCTAACTTTATTGGCAAGCTAAGAGCTGTTACCTACATCAGCTCATTTCAAAGCATTTTTGTTGTTATGAGACATACAAGTAGGGAACAGGATGAAGTTGGAGCCATCTGTGGCCAGCATTTCATTTGATCAACTGACGTTATCTCGTTGACATCATTATGCTGTACGAATGTGTTCCATACTCGAGTCATCCTGGGTATGTATGATCTCCGATGGAGTGATGTTCTGGAGAAGGGTACAGCCAGAGTGAAGTTGCTGCTTTCACTGCCCGTCTTGTGGCATAAAAGCTTGTTTCACGACCTGTCCTCGAAGTGGATCCAAGTGTGGTATTTTGACAATATTGGCCTTGTACATAACTAGTAAGGCCACCCACATCCCTCCTATGTTTGAAGGCTCTGCTGAAATGACAGATCTATCCAGGATGGGTCCAGGCGAGAGATGAGACGTCTTGCTCTGTTCTCTACTCTGTCAAGCAGTCGCAGATGAGAGGGGGGACAGGCAAACCCAAGAAAGTGGAGCATACTCAAGGTGTGAGCGTACTGTGCCTCGTACAGGATCTGTGCAACCCCTACTGTCAAGCAGATGCGAGATACGGCGAAGTGCTGTAAGCTTCCTGGCTGCCTGTTTGCAAGATTACAACATGGTTCTTCATGGTTAGTTTGGAGTCAAATTTCCTCCCCAAGGATATCAACTTCTTCTCCAGGTGCCAACATCCTCTCACCATTCATCCTTACTACTCTTCTCTCCTCTCTCTCTCTCATCTCCTCCTCCTTCTCTCTCTCTCTCTCTCTCTCTCTCCTCTCTCTCCTCTCTCTCTCTCTCTCTCTCTCTCTCTCCTCATCTCTCACTCTCTCCCTCTCCTCTTCTTTCTTTCTTTCTCTTCTCTCTCTCTCCTCTCTCTCTCTCTCACTCTCTCTCTCTCTCTCTCTCTCTCTCCTCTCTCTACTCTCTCTCTCTCTCTCTCCTCTCTCTCTCTCTCTCTCTTAGTTTTTATTTACACAGGTGTTTTGACAAGGTTAGGTTAAGGATCTCTAGCTTTATTGACAAGCTATTTACAGGTTAAGGATCCCTAACTTTATTGGCAAGCTAAGAGCTGTTACCTACATCAGCTCATTTCAAAGCATTTTTGTTGTTATGAGACATACAAGTAGGGAACAGGATGAAGTTGGAGCCATCTGTGGGCCAGCATTTTCATTTGATCAACTGACTTTATCTCGTTGACATCCTTATGCTGTACGAATGTGTTCTATACTCGAGTCATCCTGGGTATATATTATCTCAGATGGAGTGATGTTCTGGAGAAGGGTACAGCCAGAGTGAAGTTGCTGCTTTCTGCCCGTCTTGTGGCATAAAAGCTTGTTTCACGCTGTCCTCGAAGTGGATCCAAATGTGGTACTTTGACAATATTGGCCTTACCTGGAGGTTACCTGGAGGTTATTCCATGGATCATCGCCCCCGTGGCCCGGTCCATGACCAGGCCTCCCGATGGATCAGGGCCTGATCAACTAGGCTGTTACTGCTGGCCGCACGCAGTCCAACGTACGAGCCACAGCCCGGCTGATCCGGCACTGACTTTAGGTATCTGTCCAGCTCTCTCTTGAGCGCAGCCAGGGGCTTATTGGCAATTCCCCTAATGCTTGATGGGAGGCTGTTGAACAGTTTTGGGCCCCGGACACTTATGGTGTTTTCCCTTAGTGTACCAATAGCGCCCCTACTTTTTATTGGGGGCATTTTGCATCGCCTGCCCAGTCTTTTACTTTCGTACATAACAGTAAGGCTACCCACATCCCTCCTGTGTTGAAGGCTCTGCTGAAACGACAGATCTATCCAGGATGGGTTCAGGCGAGAGATGAGACGTCTTGCTCTGTTCTCTACTCTGTCAAGCAGTCGCAGATGAGAGGGGGGGGGCAGGCAAACCAAGAAAATGGAGCATACTCAAGGTGTGAGCGTACTTGTGCCTCATACAGAATCTTGCAACCCCTACTTGCAACCCCTACTCTCTCTCTCTCTCTCTCTATCTCTCTCCTCTCTCTCTCCTCTCTCTCTCTCCCTCTCCTCTCTCTCTCTCTCTCTCTCCTCTCTCTCCTCTCTCTCTCTCTCTCTCTCTCTCTCTCTCTCCTCTCTCTCTCCCTCTCCATCTTTCAAGTAATTTTTAAGCATCCCACTCATAACTTCTAAATAAAAACCGCCCGATATTTCTAACTATTCCTAAAATTTCTGTTTCAGGCCAGCTTCTGCCCTAAAACATAATAAAAACTACATTTCCTAAGTTTATTTTAAAAGTTTACACCCCCTCCCTTTTTTTAGCGTTCTATGACCCATTGGGGTTTGACACTTGACTGTAATAAGAAATACGCATTCTTTTTTTCTTTCCACTGGCGCCAGTTGCTCCGTTGACGATCTCGCTGCTGAAGGTGGCGGGGCCCCAGGAATACGTATCGGCAGGGGTGACGGAGGAGCTAGAGTGCGCCTCCTCTGGCAGTAGACCAGATCCTGTGATATCCTGGTGGCGGGATGACCAGCGTATCGTCAACCCCAGCGTCAAGGTGAGCTGCTGGGGTGTAAGATATCATCAGAGTGAGCGTCTGGGGTGTAAGACATCGTCAGGGTGAGCGTCTGGAGTGCAAGATATCGTCAGGGTGAGCGTCTGGGGTGTAAGATATCGTCAGGGTGAGCGTCTGGAGTGCAAGATATCGTCAGGGTGAGCGTCTGGGGTGTAAGATATCGTCAGGGTGAGCGTCTGGGGTGTAAGATATCGTCAGGGTGAGCGTCTGGGGTGTAAGATGTCGTCAGGGTGAGCATCTAGGGTGTAAGATATCGTCAGCGTGAGCGTCTGGGGTGTAAGATACCGTCAGGTTGAGCGTCTGGGAACACCCCAGATGCTCAGCCTGACGATCCCAAAGGACCCAAAGGACGTCTCCACTCCAGCAAAAATGTCCTTTGGGATCGTATTTGCTTGGATATCCTCCTCTTTTCTGCAACTTTGCAAGCTCCTGATGATGTGTTGATTACAACACGAAATGCCTAGATCTATCATTCTACTCCCCGCGTGGTTGTTTTGCTCTTGTATCGCTAGGT